GAATGACACCTGCTGCATTAGTGTGTGGTGCAAATGGACATGAGCACGTTACAAACCACTGCCTTCTGCATACCAGACACGTACATACAGCGTGTTTACACGTTGAATTCACACCACACGTCCTGGCTTGGAAAAGGTTAATTAAACGTGTGCTTGTCTGTTAAAAAAGTCTTTTACACTGGAAAGTAGGTCACATGTGCAGCTCGTTTCAAAAATGTAGGTGTTTCAGGTGGGTACTCAAACCCTGATTCAGCAAGGCAAAGGTCCTCCATGCAAAAGTAATTTTTCTGTAGCTTAAAAACCTGCTGCTGTTTTCTAGGTGTAAAGCACCAAGACTCACAGAATTCTTTCTTGGCATTTTTGAATGCACCTACCTCTGCTCTGGATCAATTTGAAGTAAGTGTACAGCAATTCTAACTCTGTTAGTGGAACTACTGTTGTGTGCAGGTTATATGCATGTCTGCTGAGTGTTTGCTACTGTATTTTAATCATATTGCCTCATTTATATTTGTGTGTAATAATATGTGAGAATTTTTTGTCATTCACAGTGCTGGCTGTCTTCTCTTGAATGCTAGTCATCATAGTGAATTCTCTCTCAGGCCTTGAAAGGAGAAATATGCCTGATTTTATAGTGAACATGAAAAGCATAGTTGTTCAAATGGCTTTTCTTTGAACTCAGGAAAAGTCTAAGTAATGCAGATAGTGGTTTGGTAAAAATGAGAGAAAATATGTAAATAATCTTTGATTGTATCCCATGAAGCCATTGGTACTGTTTATTACGTTGTTTTCATCTGTTAATTTTGCACAGATCTGTAAAATCCAGATATCTGCTCTTCATCTCCTCTCCACAGATCCTATATACATTAAAAATGAATCTGTTTAGTTCCTTTGTCACTTTTAGACAAAAGACCAGTTTAGGTACAAAAGCTGGAAGAAAAAATTGAAACAATACTCTACATTTCATATCTTCTTTTTTAACCAACAGTAAGCAATGCTTCATTTTTCTTTTAAAAGAACAGCTGGGGTAAAATATTGGTCAAACTGAATTCAGAGGGGACAAGGCACCACCTTTACAGTTATACAGTGGTGTAAAGTTTGTCCATTTTTTCCCTGATGGATGTACAAGGTCATCACATTTGGCTGTGAAAGAGCATAATCCCTGATGTTGCTGGTGTGCCAAAATTTGCTTTCTTTTCATTATGTATTCATAATTCATTGTTCTGTCTTGAAGTCCTCACAGATAACACCATTTTAAAATTTTCTTTTTAATCATTTTTCTTATAAGTTACTTTCAATATAAAAATACTGGTGTGGAGTATAGGAATACTATTTAATTGAGTGAATGCTGGAAAAACACTGTTTCTTTTACAGATAGCTTATTGATTAATTGTCTGTGAAAGGCAATTAATGAAAACTTACTGAGATAACTGTTACTGCCACTACTTATTTACAGTTCTTTATTTTTGCACTTTTATTTATATTTAACAATTTTCTTCATCCATCTCTTTCTCTCTCTTTCTCTCTCTCTTTTTTTTTTACTGCTGTTTTCATTAAAATAGGATTCCTTTTCCTCCTCTTCATCCTCATTGATTGATTTTATGGATGACGTAAGTCTGACTTTCAAACCAGTAAATCCCTCAATAACAGATCAGTTGATTGACTTGGAGTATTCACACATTAATGCAGTCAACTTAAAAATTCTTTAAGTGCAATGAAGAACAGACTATTTCTGTAATAACATACGTACACCTATTTATATAGATAGGTGTTTGATTTTAAAGTAAATTGCTGTTTTTCTGACAGGGAAAAGCTGCTGTTAGGCCTTGTCTATTGATATGGGCCATGGAAAATGGCTCCTAAATCACTGGCTTGTTTATTTAATTAATTCTGTGGCTTCATATTATTACTTTGCCATTAGTTGTTTCCAGAGGTTTTCTAATCACTTCAGTTAAAATGTTTGCCTTGCATACAGTGAATTTCTGTTTGCTTAAGTAAAATATTGTTTCTTTTTTAGGCTATACTGTGAAAAGTATTTTTCATTATAATTGAGGTGAACTTGCTACTTTTTATTGCCATTTGAGATGCAGGTTTTCTCTCAGGACAGTGTTTAAATATTTCCACTAGTTAATTGCACACTAATAGAATTGAGTTGGAAATTGACTGCATTATATTTCTTCCAAACTGAAGTAATAGGCACATGAAAGTAAATAATAGTAAGATTTTTTAAAATCAAAGTATATACTATGCATCCATGGTAGAGACCCATCCACTACAACTCTGTAGGTGTGTTGTGTGTGTGTGTGTACATCTGTCTGTGCTTGTATATATGTTTATACACATGCACACATTTATATATGTGTATTTAACAATGTGATATTAATTTTATTTGTGAAATGTCTGCTGTGAAGTGTGCAACAAAGAGGATATAGTATATGGGCCTATTCTACTTTCATTGCCTTTCACGTGCTCTGAAAGAATGCTTTTATTCTGGATCTCTTTTCTCTGTAAATCTGTTATATACACTATTCACACAAAATGTGAAGGTACATCTTTGGTATCACAGTAGAAGGCACTTGCCTACATTTTTGTATAGCATACAGAAAACTTTTGCTGATATTGATGGAATCTTTTTACACACCAAAAAAAACCCCATGAGAGTACAATTTACTGTCATGTTAAATCAACAATATGGGAATAATATTTATATCCTTTATCTGAATTAAAGATTAAAGAAGTGTTCTATGATACCTGAGTATTAGAAACACTTAATTTGTATTAGCAAGTTCTTTCATGAAAAGCTATCTTTAAAATTATCTAAAACTCTCTTCTAAAACCTGTTGAAACAGAAATAAAGTACATACATGGCAGAGTGGCTGCTAATGTTGTTTTGCAAGGGGAAGCTTAGAATATTTTCCTGGTTGCTATTTAGTTAGTTTTGAAGGACATCAGTACTTTGTTCATATTAATTGTACAAGCGTTTTGACAAAATTGTACTTTTTTTCTCTATGCAAGTGAGTAATTTTCAGCTGTTGGTGTGCATACTTTTAGACAGTCTTCTTGCTTGGTACATCCAGATGAAATCTTTGCAGATACCCACTTTTTGGTCTTGGGTAAAATTTCAGGTATTAATGTGTGTACTGTTGCATGGAGATGGCTTAGTACATGGAATCAAATTGCCCCTGTTACATCTCCAATTTGAGTCCAATGGGAGTGTTTTTTCTCAGCTGTGTTGGGCAAAAGTACATCTCTGAACTGGACTGGCCTGGGGCTAATGTCTCTAACACCAAGGCAGAATTCTTTCTCATCTGAAAAAACTGCAGAAGAGAGCTGGCTGGCCAAAGATGGGAGGATTACCTTGTAGACAAATATAGGACATTTTATCTTTGTTAGAAAGAGAAATAAAGCTGATGTCAGCATTAGTAGGTGAAAAGTCGTATCATTCAGTTGTGCTTAAAGTCAGTTCTGCATCTTTGATTTGCTGGACAATTACTTGATTCATTCATAGATTCATAATGTTTAGTCTCTAAATTATCCAAATGAATGGTTATTTATGATTTAGCACATTGAGTTGGTTTAACATCAACATATTAGACAGACTTATTAGGCCATGGATGTGATCTCCACTGGATGTGCCCACTGGATGTGATCTCCATTTGCTTTCCAATGTCTCTTTTTGACAGTAGCTGCCTCGAAGGGCAGTAATTCTTGCAGCATCTTCAGAAGAATCAATCTGTGCTCAGTCAAACCTGAGGGGTGTGTGGGCTCTTTGTATTAAGACCGAGGGAAAATTAAAAGTTCTTGAGTCAGACTTATACAGTGCTGCAATATTGCTTGGGTTTCAGGAGAGCCTCTCTTGTAATCAAGAACCCAAAGTAAATATTACTAATGCCTGGTATTGTTTCTTCAGTCTGTGCTTCCTTAAGAAAGGACTGCAAGTGCATAAAATAACACGTAGTGGTAGTTACAAGGCTCTCTCAAGATCCTGAAGTCTATTTAACATATAGGTGTGTACACAGCACGGGCTTTACTAGGATTGGTATGTCTTGTGTGTCTGCCATCCCAATAATGTAACTTTTTGTAGCAGCCTGTGAATGACTGGAATTAATTCTAATTCTTTGTATGAGGAAAATGATAGTTTTGCAATTTGTACTGGAGAGAAGTAAAAATAGATGCCCTGCTGCCTCTGTAAGCCTGCAGATGCTGAGCAGGAAAAGTGGCAGCTCACTGTTCAGATGAGTAGCAGTCACTGATGGTTCCAGCTGGCCTACCTTGAAAAGATACTTGATCAGGTTGGCAGAACTAGTGCCTAAATCCACAGAGCTGTGCAAGCTCATACATTCAGAAATGACCCTTGTATCTCCTGTGTACATGGGAGGGTAGCAAGGAGAGTAGGGGTGGGTTTTGCAGTCCCTGGTTGCTGATTTTGGTGGGGGGGAAGTCACCCCTAGTGACTAATACAGTAATCTGTAAACCTTTTGCTGCTGTTTCTCCTGTGTGTTGCAGGCTGTCTCTCAGTATTGTCATCTAGGTGTGAAGTCTCCTATGTTCACTAGAAGTGTCTGATAACTAAGTGTTGGGTTTTGTTTCTTTGCCAGGTGGATCTTTGTGTATCTCACTAGCTGCTAAAAGCAATCCACTTGTTTTATTTAAGGGTGAATTTGTGATTATTTAATAACAATAAAATGGAATCCCATTTTCCCTTAACAAAATTATTTTCCCCACATTCTCAGAAATATTTAATTTTTTTTGCCATTACTAGCACATCACAAATTAAAAATAGATTTCTTAAGTCCTCCTGAAATCTGTCCTCACATACAGTCTTCATGGGCTTTGGTTAGATTAAACAGCCACAGAATAAATCGTGTTCTGAATTGTTATTATTGAACAGAATATGCCATAGTAGTGTGTGGTGAGAGCCTTGACTTTGCCTGCACATTGATAATTAAGTTTAGAGTGAATCTGGTTCATAATGATACTTTAAATTGGACATATTGTGCCTCCAATAGATTACTTCATTCATCTTGTACAGAGATACTAACTGTAAATTTTTAGTGCAACATAGTCTGCAGCTTCACTGCTATTGTCCAGTATAAAACTACAGAATTGGAATAGTTGTTCCTCCTTGGTTTTTTTTTATGTTTCTTCCCTCTTGTTGCCCCAGAATATCTTGGTTATTAAATACTTGTACAAATGAACATGTTTGTGTGTGTCTAAACACTACCTCTGGAGATAAAAAGTGAGGAATTCTGAGGTGATGTATGTGTCGCTGTTTGGTTTTGTAACATATTCTCCTCCTTTCTTTGTTAAAGCACTCTCCTTCCTGTATTCCAGCTAACAAAGGCAGACGTGTAAGAGGCTGTCTTACTCTATATGGCCCTTTATTTTTTGCCTGTTGTGTCCATGCCTATGTTTAATGTATGGATTGTGTATTTACCTCACTGCATGTCTTGTGCTGCTGCTGCTGCTGTTTGCTGCTGCTGCTGCTGCTGTGCTTTTTGTTGTTTTACAGCTGTGGGCGAAAAGCTTTTGGAGTATTTCATTTGGTAATCCTATGAGCAGATTATCACAGTAGTTGGAGAAGATGCTTTGGGTACTTTCTCATTTCCTTGTGAAAGTTCTATGTGAAAGCTGCTGCAGGTTGGGAAGGATGAGCAAAGGTCAAATGAAGGCCTCTTTGTTTCCTTGCCCTTAGCAGAGGGCATGTGTTAAGCTGTGGGAATTGCCTGTAGAAGGTCAAAGTTTGGCATTTGGGAGACACATCACAGCAAATGATAGAAAATATCACAGTACAAAGATAAATGTGAAGTGAGAAATTAAGTAAATGGAGCTTCAAGGAGAGTGGGAAAAATTCATACAAGGAAAACAAGGATGGATTTGTTCTAGTTGGTTAAGCCAGAAAAGTCTATGGTGTTTCAAAAATCACAGTGGGCTTTTAAACATGTGTTTACGTGTTTTATCGAAGCTTTGTCAGACTGAGTTCATACCAGGTATGCTATGTCCATTTTAAACTCATACTGCCACTTTTGAGTTTTTATACCCATTTTAATGGTAGAAATAAGTAAGCATGTATACTGAATATTCAATAAATAAGCAATAATGCCCAACAGCTCTAATAATGTCCTTACCCATGCAGTTGAAAGCACACTGCTTAGTGTCTGAGGCAAGCTTATAGTGACTGCTTGTTTTTGTCGGCTATGCTTCCACTTCAGAAGTTACCCTTCCTCGAGATGTGTTTGTACACTGGGTAGCGTTGGCTCAGACCTGTGCAGGTGATGCATGTAGACAGCTATACACAGTCCTGTGGAAGACAGCAAGGCTTCTACAATTTGGTAGGAAATATTGAGATCTCCTTTTGATAATCCAGTGGATTAGTTTAAAACCATTTTGAATGGTGTTAACATGGTCTTCCAAAACTATTGACCATAGTTGAGTCAGGCTACTTTTATACTTAGTTCTTCTCATTAAAACAAGGAACCTGGAGATCACTGCAGGAATACAGCTTAAGGCCCTACTTCTGCAGTAAAGGTGGTGGTTAAATTCTCTTCAAATTCTGTAATGGTAGATCAGGTTCTGTTTTCGTTTTCAGACTTTTTATGTTTGTGAGTAAAAATACATTTGTTTCTGTTTCAGCAGTTGTCTTCAGTCACAAAGGCTTTGTAGCTGAGTCCATTAACGTTCTATCATTCATATCATACTTGTACTAAGTTTTTCTCATAGGCATCATGAAAATTCTTTGGTATGCAGATGAAAGGGAAAGCCCTTGGAGTATCTGGAAACATCTATGAAATGATAGATTAGGTCTCTGAATTTAACCTGCAGAAGAATGTCTGTTTCTTGCTATGAAAAATTTGCCTGTAGTTACTCACTGGGCTTATTTTTTGGTTATATTTTTAAGGAGAAGGCAGAATTGTTGAAGGTTGTTCAGTCTTTGAGTAGACTCCAAATTATCACATGTTTAGACTGGATTAAAAAAAAAGAGTTTAAAATAGTTGAAACATGTTATGTGTTTGGGGGTTGACTACTTAAGGCATCACTGATTCTAATACTGGGTAAAGCTTTCAATTATTATTTGCTTCTGATAAAGCTGAGCACAGAATGTTTGCTTTACTGCTAATTTTTGCCTCAATGCTTGAAACGTGTGATCTCAGCGTAGTAAACAGGTGTATCTCAGTGTGAGAATTTTACATTTTCATTTCAGAAATATTTGCAGACATCTTAATATGCCTAAATTGGTTAAGCTGATGAGCTATTCTCCACCACATACATTTTCTTTGAAGGCTATGGTAAAACTAGAAGCCATCAAACTTAACTCACAGCTATTAACAAAAAAAAAAAAAAAAACCAGCAAAAAACCAAACTAGCAACTGCACCTGTTAGCTACCATGACTGAGTTTCTGGAGAACAATACTGTGTATGTATGTATAAGATTGGCTTGGCGATGTATTGCATTCCCCAAAAGCAGTAAAGTTTGTGGAATTAGTATTGTCAGTGGCAAATGAGATCAAAACCACTGGAATGCTCAAATGCTTTCTGTGAACATTGCTGCATATTTTAGTTTGTCTGCCAGCTAGCCAAATCCTTAGCAATGGAGAACTGCTTCAGAAAATTGCTCCAGAAAATCCAGGCATGCAGTGGAGCCTTCTCCAGGCCTCCAGCTTTTGGTTTTGCTATTAGTGAAGAAAAGCATTTTTGCCCCTTTTTTAAATTTTCTACTATTTTTACATAGAAAACTTCGTGGAGGTGTCTTGTTTTCAAGGAATTATCCTTTCTTCTCTGTTTTTTTCACTTGCACTAAGAAAAGATGACTCATTATGCAAGATGTTTCTTTGTACCTATACGCCTTGTTGTTCATGTAGCTCTGTGGCTTAATTTCAGATGGGGTAAAAAACCCTCAATCCTCTGTGATTATAATTAGCACTAGCCTCAGGAAATACCTTGTTTGCTCTGCCTTTTCTCCTTGTTTTCTCCTGAATATGTTTGCAGTATTTTACTTGGGCTATATGGGAATTCACTTCTAACAAGTCTCTACTGTCAGTGGACAAAACCCAGTAGTGTTTAGAAAATGTTCACCCTTTTAAAAATGCTGAATTACAAGTCTCTTCGAGTGTTTGTTAGGTCCCTGAACTAGCAGCTCTTATGCATGTGCTCACCTCTCGGCAGAAGCCTTGGCGTGTTTATATTCAGTAATTTTCATTGCATTTTTGTGCTTTTAATTAAGAAGTTGCTTAAAACTGAATTTTTATCCTCTCAGTTCTCTCTTAGGAATTCTTCTGCTCCCATATCTTATTTTGGTAAGAGTTGAGAATTTTTTTTTTAATGATGTCTTTGATTTATTTCTTTGGTTGTTGTTTTTTCTCTTGAATTGTTCTCCTAGATTGATTCAGTTGAGAATTTTACATTGTCTAATACTCCATCACGGGATGAAGATAGCAAGTCCCACCTCCATTCGAGATCAAGATCTCCTTCTACGGCTAGTGAGATTGAACCAATCGAGGTACTTCAGTGTTGAAAGATCTTTGCTTTTTTATTTTTTTTTAGGAGTAACAGTTTCACTTGTATAAAAATTACTATTGTAAATCCTTTTATTTAGGATGAAGCTCACTGCTGCAGCAAGACTATTAAGGACCATGTAATAGTCTTCTGCACTGGTTGTGATAGATTTTGGAGAATGTTGCATTTCCTTTCACATACACTTAATTGAATAGGAATGGGAGCTATGTTGAATCCATTATTAGTTATAGTCTCTCTCTTTGTAACATACCCCCAGTCATGCATGGCACAAAGTTAATATTATACTGTAGTTTGTGGAAACACACTTTGGAGTCGTGCTGGAAGTCTTGTTATTGTGAAATATTATCGAGACTCTGGTACTGTAATAATTTATCCCCTTTCCCTGTTAAAAAATTTTACTCTGTGGTTATTTTACATTAGAAAATATCCAATCAAATGTTTAAGATAATACAAAGGTTTTTTTGACATTTAGGAGACTAATCTTATATGTCATTTTTTCTGAGAAACCAGATTTGGTTTTCTGGGTCCTTTCCGGTGTTTCCTGTTCCAATTTGGTTTCATGGCTTGTATGTTTGGGGATGGGATGGGTGGGATGTTGTAGCCTTTTTCCTTTATTCAGGCTGTTTTTGGTGGTATGTATTTGGTGACTTATTGATCCTTTGTGGACTATGTTCAGGTTACAGATCATCCTCCCCGTTCAATTCACACACCAACCATGAGGACAGCATATATTGGATCGGGACTCTCTGCACCAAAGGTATTCTGTCACTCATTCACACTTTATATAGTAAGGGGGGGGAGATGTCACTCCTGGGCAACAGCTTCAGGAAAACTGTTTATCACACTAATTTTACCAGAACTTCCTAAAGGATTGGTTTTATACAAGCTGGTTGCTTTCTAACACTTAATCCCCCTTATTCTTACATTATGTGGTGTGGCAGGTTGTGTTAGGCATTGCACTGGAGCAGCACACAGGCATTTGGTTATAGGAAAAACAGTAGCTTGGACATTAGAAAGAGATGAATGAGCCAGAATGTGAAGAAACAAAAAGAGACATCCTAGGAAGAGAGTATTTTTCTGACATGTGTCTGACCAACCTGCATCTATTCTCTGCATACAATAAAACTGGTGTCACTGTGGGCCAGTCTCAGATTAGCACAGCTGTGATGCTTGGTTTTGAGAAAAGGCAAAGAGTAAGCCTAAAAATGAAGGCATACATTTGCATTTTTTTATAAGGAATGTAGAGTGAGCAGTTTTTGATTGCATCAGTTTTCAAAGATAAGTATCATTTCCCTGTAAGTTTCCAAACAAGACATCTGCAGACGGAAAGTTTCCATTGTAACAGTAAAACTGTCATTAAATATGGATAAGTTTGAGCCCTTAGCTGTGATATCTTACGCTGTGAAAAATGGGAAAGTGAGTAAAATTTTAACATACCTCCTCATTAAAGTAGTCTGCCAAATTGTCTTATTTCAGATCACGTACACTATCCAGTTTTTTTTGAGTCTTTACATTCTCCTTATGCTCTGTCCGTTCTCCACCAGCAGTCACTCTACTGGGAGTTTTTGTAGAAAAGTCAAGCAGCTTCTTAAATTTTATATAGGTCCTTTTATGAGTCATACTGCCACATTACGCAGTCATTTAGCCTGTATATCATAGCATCAGCACTGCCATCCTTGAGGAGGGAGAGTGAATTAGACCACTTACTCATGTAGTTGTGCTCCCAAGAACTAACTAGAAGACCTTTCAAAATTAGCTTCATCTTTCAACTTCAGCTTCTGTTGTTAAATTGGGTGTTCTGAAATTGCCTCTGGTGGACACCGTAAAACTGAACTCTGACATGAAATTTAGACTTTTGAGAAAGTCTGATATTTTTCTTTGAACCAAGGCAGCACTTCTTACAGAGGAGCATTGAATGCACAGCTGTTGTGAGTTGCCTTTGGCTGGCAACCAGGTGCCCACCCAGTATATACATGCTCAACTTCTGTAATAGAATCATTCTGTAATAGAATCATTTTGGCAACTTTCCTATCTGCAATGGAAGCAAACTCATGTTCCAAGACAAGGCCTAGTTTCCATGTTTTTGTTTACAGAGGATGCTTTGAATTGTCAACAAGAACTGATAAGAAATTTTTTTCAGCCCATGTGTTAGGAGCTCAGATCTCGTTTCAACAGAAATGAGCTGCCTTTCTAAATGCACCTATGCACTCTTCTCTCTGTGAATAACTGTTCTTCAGAAGTGTTGCAGGTGTTAACATCCTTGTCTGCTTGCTTCACAGCCTAAAGCCCACCAGTTTGTAGTGAAGTCGTTTAATACACCAACAAAATGCAATCAGTGCACATCTCTGATGGTTGGTTTAATACGTCAGGGCTGTACTTGTGAAGGTAAGCACTTGTGAAAGCAAAATGTGGGAACTGAAGTTCTTACAGATGCCAATGGCACAGTTAATGTTGTAATGTGATAATGCAGGTGTCTTCTGTTTATATTTTGAATAACAGAATCCATTTTCATGCTTCAGTCATTAAACAGTAGAAGCCAAACACTTCACCTGCCCTACAGAACAGATTATCTAGTTATCTGGGGACATGCTTATTCCAGTTGGTGGTACAAGACCTTAGTTCAGTTTACTTAAAATAGCAATAAGGAGCTACATTTGGTGGTCAAGTGTGCTGACAGCAGCTTTGCCTTCTGTTCTTGGCAAAATTTAAAACAACTTTGCCATTCAGTACCAATTTTGCTTCTTTCTAGTATTGATTTATTCTAGAAAGAAGCAAAATTGGTACTGAATGGCAGTTTATTCTGTTTGTACATACACAGAATGGCACTCATTATTTAGAGAAGATTCCAGCTTTTCATTTACTAGTAGAGTGGGGCCTAGGGGAAATCATAGAGATTATCTTAAGCTCTTTCTTAATGCCATTGTCATTATCACAGCTTTTACATTGCAAAAGAAATAACCATCAAATCTTTCTGTTTCTTCTCCTCCTCACAAGTATGTGGATTCTCTTGCCACGTCATATGTGCAGACAAGGCTCCTGCAGTATGTCCAATCCCTCCTGACCAGACTAAGGGACCTTTGGGAATAGATCCACAGAAAGGCATAGGAACAGCTTATGAAGGACATGTCCGAGTAAGTAACGAGTAGTTGCGTTTGGGGCACTTACATTAAATTCATTGTTTCACAGAGCTGGAATTAATTGAGGCATTGAGGGGATGGATTCAATTTTACCTTAAGGTAAGGTTTGGAAACCAGGACCTAAATTTTCACAAAGCAGTTCTTAGAATTTTCAACAGTAATTCTCTCTCCATCTCTGTCGGCCATCATATTTTTGAGTTGGTCTTGAGCCTCTAGATCTTTGCAGATCAGATCATCTTCTGGGGCTTGTGAGTTTTCGAATCTTTCTACTGATGCTAGTACTGTCTACAGTCATTGGTGTGGATACTTGTACGTAAATATTAAAACGATTACTCAACATAGTTTTGTCCATATTCCTGTTGACTTTCTAGAGATGGGTTTCTTTCTCTATATTTGATAATAAACCTTTGAATTTGTGAAATAAGAAGAAAGAATCTGTGAAGCTGTTAACTTTTTTAATAATACATTGTCTGTGTTCGTTGCTCTTGCTGCTCCTGTGCTATTGCTTATGTTGCTTAACATTATCAGTGAATAAAAGCTTTTCAGCCCAGATGAGAGAATTGATTTTTGTGCTATGATTTTTTGATTGTATCCAAACTTACAGAGAGTTGATCAGAATTTGTTTTTCTAAAGGTACCAAAACCAGCTGGAGTGAAGAAAGGTTGGCAGAGAGCACTGGCAGTGATCTGTGATTTTAAACTCTTCCTGTATGATGTAGCAGAAGGAAAAGCATCCCAGCCCAGCGTGATAGTGAGTCAGGTCATAGACATGAGGTAAGCTGTTTGGTGCTGAGTGGGAGCTTTTCAGAGGCACTGGGGGTTTTGTCCTGCTTTTCCTTTTTGTGAAATTAGTAAGCAAGCTCTAGATCTATTATGAAACACTTGTAATCCATGCTGAGAACCTCTAAATTTTCTGCAGAAAAGCAGTGAGCAGTTATGTAAGTTAGCCTGAACAACGCTAGTGTGTTCACATGTGAACATTTGAACTTCCATTACTACACCATGTGCAAAAATCATCTGTTCAGTTGTGTAGAAAGTCTGGAATGAATAAAGAAGGAAAAAAACCCTGTTTTGGGGGGGCTGAATAGAGTATTGAAAAACAGATTAAACTTTGTTTAATAAGTGATAAAATGAATAGAATTTTTTGATTCAGAAGGGCTAAATAGTTTGTTCTTATTGTCTTCAGTATTACTAAAATACTACCAACCTCACTGAAGGCTGAGAACATTTAACATACCAAGTAGAGCTCATTTCTGAAAGGGTTAGTTCATCCAGGAAGTCCCAAACAGCTGTATGTTATACCTTCTAGTGAGTTTGGATTTGTATGAAAGAATTTGGAGAGGTGTACATGGTCAGGCTTATTTTTTGGCTGTTTTTCAAACTGTTTAAATTTATACAGACAAAAGACAGATCTGGAATATCTGGATAGACTTGTTCCCCATTATCATTTACCAAGAATTAATTATGCAACATTGCAGTTGTGAATTTCATCTGCAGTTACAGGGGAAAGGATAATTTTGAAAATTAGGTCTCAATACTGACTTGTTATGTCCTTCACAAAACAAGGCTTTTGGAAAAGTAAAAACCAAACATGCAGATTTTAACTCTTTTCCAATTATATTTGTGGTCTCCATAAGGGATGAAGAATTCTCAGTGAGTTCTGTCTTGGCCTCAGATGTCATCCATGCAAATAGAAAAGATATCCCCTGTATCTTTAGGGTAAGTATTACATCTTGACCCTAGTAACCCAGACGTACAGGGTTTCAGAGAGTCATGTATGGTGTGTGTTCACTCACACTTAGTAGTATTTTATTTCCTTGGCAAGTTCTGGCTGTGTGGTCTCCATGGCAGCAGCAGCAGTGCATAGGGATCTGTACATCTATCATTTCTGTGGTAAAAATAGTATTAGTACATTAATATAAGCTTTCATCTCCACTTTAAGTGGGGTTTATTTTTTAGTCTTCACGATAAGATGCATTATTTTCTACCTCCTCCTAGTCATTTGAAATTCTTCTGCTTATCGTGACCTTCTACATTTTCATTTCCTGAAGTTGCCCTCTGCTTCTCAATTTAACTGGTTATGTTGTTCCTGAAGCCTTTATTTTATGTTTGTTTGGGGTTTTCTTTAATATGTCTATGCATTGGATATCAGATAGTCAGTATAGAAGTCTAGTGTAAAACCCTCATAGAAATTTATGTCTGGTATCAGGATTTTGCTCTCATTGGCTTCTTCTAATATTCTTATCTTCACTAGATAGATATTCTGTTGAAGCTTTGACCTCAGTGAAATCACCTTGGTGTCCTATTAATTGTCCTATCATTCCTTTACTATAGTATTGTATTTTAGTCCTTGTTTTTCCAGTTCTCAGACTGTTCATCACTGTGTGTGCTGAGAGGAGATAAACCTGCTGAAGGTGCTTTCATGTTTAGCTATAGTAGGTGTACCAAATACATGAAAACAATCACAGATTGTTCTTCCATCAGGACTATTCCTGTTACATTAAATTATTAATGAAATCTTTTGCCCTTAAAAAAATACTGCTTTTCATTATAAAATTGCTGTGAGAAACAATTGACTACCTTATTTAGGAAAGACATTTCTGAATTATGCTATAAATACAAATGCATTTAGAATAAAGCCAGTGTTTGTTCTTTGAGTTATTCACATCTGCATGTTTTCCTGTTGTGGTTTCTTGATTAAGGTAAGAGTGTTTTCTATTAACTAAGACTAAATCTTTGCTTTCTTAGTTCAGGCAGCTGATTAAAAAGGCACTTAGAGGCATCTGATGCCCTTGTAAAAATGATCATGAGGAAAATTTTTATCGCTTATGACTTAAAATATATGTTTTAATCTTTTACAGGTTACAGCCTCCCAGCTCTCTGCATCCAGTAACAAGTGTTCAATCCTGATTCTAGCAGATGGTGAGAATGAAAAAAGCAAGTGGGTAGGAGTGCTGAATGAATTACACAGGATCTTGAAGAAGAACAAGCTCAAAGACCGCTCAGTCTATGTTCCCAAAGAAGCTTATGACAGCACCTTACCCCTCATCAAAACAACACAGTCAGCAGCAATCATAGGTATGAAATTAAGAAGAAAGCTCTAAGAAAAGTGGTTATGCTAAAAGCATGGTTTTTTGATTTTTTAAAAAAAAACTGTTAAATGGTGTTATCTGCTGAATAGAGTGATGTTTAGTGGTTTTATCCCATATGGAAATGTCTGTGGACTTAAGAGAGAAGTGCAATTCACTACCCAGTACTTCTGTCAGCTCTTTTAAGAGTATTCCTCCTATTCACACATACTCATAATTATTAATGATTTTGACTAAGACATTTGTTATTCTTTAAACAAAACTCTCTAACTGGGTAAAATTAGCACTATCAAATATATGTAAATCACTGACTTTACAAAATCTGCTGGTGGGACTACAGAGAAAATGTAAGATCAGAGAATTAATTTAGTCATTTTAAGTACTGCTGCATAAAATATGTTAAACTCTGATTCTGTATTTAAATATAATAATACAGTTATTTCAAAACTGGTAGTACACTTACATTCCCCAAATGGGTTGTTAAAATTTATGTTCTTGCTGTTACTTTTACTTAGTGGGAGAAATGGGAAAATACTTACTTTTTCATAAATTTGAAAGATTGTGAGGTTACCAATGTTTTTCTGTTACATGAAAGTATTGGGTTTGGCTTTATATACATTTATTTCAAAGCATTAAAAGATACTGTCTCTGTTAATGAGAATTATCACTGCTGTAGAAGTGATTCCTAAAGTATTTCCAAATAAAAATAACCTTTTCTTTTCTTAATGTCATAGACCATGAAAGAATAGCTCTGGGGAATGAAGAAGGGTTATTTGTTGTGCATGTCACCAAAGATGGTAAGAAATCAAGAACTAGTAATAATTTCCCTAATATCAGATAATCAGAAAGTGGCTTTGTGACCTTTTTTCTCATTCAGTATCCTTTGGTTTCATTTACTACATTATCAGCAGGACAACCTCATCACTGGGAGCTGTTAATTACGGTGTTCTGTGTGCTTTTTGATTTGGGTATCCTTTCCAATAACAAAGATCCAGCATCTGAAATGTAGTTGTAGGTTTTCTTCCCCTTCTTGAAGAAATGTCGTTACTGAATTCAAACCAGATTACTCAGGACTTTGTCCAGTCAGCTCTTGAAAATCTCCAGATATGAAGGTTCCACAGTCTCTGGGCTGCCTGTTGCAAATTATCCTTGCAGTGAAACACTTCCCTAATTTGATTTTGTGAGTGTTTTCTCTTCTCCTGCTGTGCACCTCAGCAAGGAGTTTGGCTTGATCCTTTCTGTAACTTCCCCCTTGGTACTGGAAATGAAAACTTACCTTCAATATTGTAAGGAGAGGTAACAACAGATGCCCAAGCTAATTCAATAAGCAACATGTTTAATTGTATGTTTCAGCTCTTCGAGGGTTTTCCTTTATTCAGTATTTATGGCTATAAACTGTTTTTGAAATGCAGCAGTTGTTATTGTATCAGATCTGCTCCTCCCTTTTCTGATAAGGAAAAGCCTAAGGTCTGTCCAGCATTGCCACAGCTGGTATTGTTAAAATACAGGTTTTCATTCTGTACTTTTTAATATTGCAGGGAAGCAATAAAGGGGATTTCTTGGGCTCCTTTCCTGGTTTATCTTGACAAATACATAGTTATAATCAATTCACACTTCAACTTTATTTACTTGGGTTTGTGGGTTTTGTCTTGTTTTTTTCCAGAGATCATCCGTGTTGGTGACAATAAGAAGGTTCATCAGATTGAGCTTATCCCAAGTGAACAGCTCATTGCAGTAATCTCAGGACGGAACCGTCATGTGCGACTTTTTCCCATGGCTGCCCTGGATGGAAGGGAGACTGAGTTTTACAAGCTGGCAGAGACAAAAGGCTGCCAGTCACTGGTTTCTGGACACGTGCGCCACGGAGCTCTTACCTGCCTGTGTGTAGCTATGAAAAGGCAGGTCCTCTGTTATGAACTAAATCAGAGTAAGACCCGTCACAAAAAGATCAAGGAGATCCAAGTCCAGGGGAACGTCCAGTGGATGTCAATCTTCAGTGACCGCCTTTGTGTGGGCTACCAGTCAGGTTTCCTAAAATATCCCCTTCATGGAGAAGGCAGCCCATACAGTCTGCTCCATCCAGATGACCACACGCTATCATTTATCTCACAGCAGCCAACCGATGCCATCTGTGCAGTCGAGATCTCAAATAAAGAATACCTGCTGTGTTTTAGCAGCGTAGGGGTTTACGTTGACTGCCATGGCCGAAGGTCGAGACAGCAAGAGTTGATGTGGCCTGCAACTCCATCTTCATGCTGTAAGTTGTGTCAGTGTATTTGCTGTTGTACATTGAAGTGATCAGTGCTTGTATTAATATCCACAGGAAGTGAAGTTCAAGGCCAATTGCCTGACAGGTAAATGAATGGTCTCAGCTTCTGTCAGCATTTTTAGTCTGGTCAGAGGGTTTAATTTATTTAATTCATCTCATTTATGGTAGTTTTGACAACTCGGTTACTGAGCACTGTTACTGTACTGCTGGAACACAAAGAGGAATCATGAGTCAGGATTTCTGACTCTGATCTCCAATTTCTAAACATGTGTCCTGGTCTCTAAAACCGCCAAAAGTTTCAGGTTCTACAGAGGCTAATAGGAATTTTATGTATTTGCTATCACCGGTGCTAGACTGTTGTTATTTAGAGTCTTGAAATTTGATTGTACTGTAGCCTAGCATTGTGGTTCCAGCTTTCTTGATGTTCAGAGTCATCAGGATGTGGTAGTTTGACTTACTTTTGTCTAATGGTGTTTATTCCTACTTGGTGATCTGGTTTTTTTCTTTTCTTTCTTTATTCTTTCATTCTCTATTCCTCAGCAGTTTTTGTTGACACTTCTCATTCATCGCCTCTCTGCTTTTTTAAAAAAACTTTTTAAGTTCCCCCTCCCTCCATGTCCCTCTTCCCTTCCAAAATAATATGTATAGCAGACAGTATAGAAAATATATTTCATAATCTTAAGGGAAAAATACTGTAATTTTCTAAGATTTCTGTTTCCACCAAGACCTCTTAAGCATTTATGGCACATTATTTCAAAGGCAGGACTTCATCTTTGTGACACTTGAGGAAAAACAACCTGCAATGTCTATCTTCTTCTTCTTAGTGTCTTTCTGAATGGAGATAAAGTTTAGCCAAATTTGCCCTCAGAGTCTCTGAGAATTAGCTCAGTTTTACGCTGATTTTCAGAATGGTCTGCCCTCTTACCTCACTCTGGCAGCTGTCTAGTCCCACTGCAGAGGAGAGGAATTGTTTCACCTTGTTTGAGTGAAGGTTCTTCTGAATGTGGAAGGAGCAACTTTTGCAGGCTGTTTTCCACTTCTGATTTTCAGGCAATTTTAAGGAATTGAGTGTTACAATGTGCTCAGAGAATAGATTTTGTGATAGATTGAAACCCAGGTATTTTTCAGATGTAGTTCATCTGTACTGGTCATTGATATTTGTGAAAGTTCTTTGATTGCCTTAAATAAAGTGACTTGATGTTGCTCCAATTCAGAATGGAGGTATATTTTATAGCAAAAGCTGTAACATTTCAAGACAAATGAGATGCTCTTGTTGGTCTTGGCAGACCATGGCAGTCTTGTTGCCAACATGGATATACTGAATTTTCCTTTAGAAGTGGTCCCCGTGGAACAAATTTCATCCTGGGGAAATGTGCCAGATAAGTAGCACAAGAATTCTCTTTACAATCCAAAAAATAAGAAGAGAGAATTAAAGCTAGAAGGAAGCATGATTTTCTTCATGACTGTGCCATCGTACTTAGTTCTAACTGATGTTCGCTTAGTGCATAGTCCAAAAACTAAGAGCTCACTTCATTCAAATGGCAGTTATTAAATAACAGCCATATATTTTCTTACCACATCACTTACGAAATATGAGCCCTTAAAAATAGGGCTTTTAGAAGAAAAAAACCTTTGAACCACATAAGTGTTTGGCAGAGTAAACTGTAATTCCTTATAATTCAGAAAGTATGTATGTTCAGCAAAGTTAGAAGTCATGGAGGTTCTATGTTTGTAGGTGGTGCTGGTTTGCCTTCAGAATAAATTTCTTGATCAATTTTGAATTAAAATACATTTTTCAAGATTGCTGTTGGATTGTGGGGTGTTGGGTTTGGGGTTTTTTAATAAATGTGGTTAAGCCATAAGAAAATGTGTATTTTGGGCTCTGTCTATTAGCACATGACACTATACCTAATCATTCCCTCTCAGGTTACAATGCACCATACCTCTCTGTGTACAGTGAAAATGCAATTGATATCTTCGACGTCAACTCCATGGAGTGGATTCAAACTATTCCTCTCAAAAAGGTAACCTGCCATTTCAATATCAGCCTAAGGGTATGTCTAATCTCAGTACTGCTTTGCTACACTTGTACCAGGTTTTTTTAAGCATGTTAGAAGCCATCATTAATACTGCTTGTTTAAACATAATTGAGCTAAAAGAAGAGTTACTGCAAAGAAACTAGTGCTTTTCTAGTTTAAAGTAGAAGGGACTGAACGTGTTTGGCATGTGATTTCACTGGTTTAGATGAATGGTCAATCTGGAACATATGACTGTTAAATCTAAAACTGATACTATTGTACTAATGAGAGTAGTTTCTTGGTATTAATTGCATAATGCTTCCCCGGGACTGATTGAATCTGTTATAGTCCGAAGATGGTGGATGTTAAGATAATTAAACAGGACTTCAAAAATATATCTCCTGCTGCTTGAGAACACTGTAGACATACAGGGTTAGAACATTTTGTTTGAACCAGTACAAATACTATAACCAAGATGATGTCAGGTTTGGTTCTCTTATCAAAAGGAAGACATTTCTGAAAACTGACACTTCCTTGGTATTTAAAACGTGTTTGCTCAGCTGTATTTGGAAAGAAAAAAGAAAAGTGCTTTGTTTATCCCATAGTGTAGACTTCATCTTTGTGATAGTGTCAACATAATTCCTTTATTGGCATTCCAGTGACATAGAACTACACGACATTGCCCTGCCAGATGCAGAGCCAAGTGTTATGGCAGTGCTGGAAGGATAAATAATTCAAAGGTCAAGGAGCTCAGCTATTAACCATCTTACGGAGAGAATGATCTGGCCTTTTAGGGGAAATTTCATTCTGATGTCCAAACTTTGACTTATCACAGTACAGTGGAATGTGATTTAGTACTTCGATTAAAATTTGGCTCACTTAATAGATAAAGCTAATTTCACCAAACGAGAACTGCTACATCTAGGAGACTCAAAAATGGCAATTTATTATGAAGAGTTTGTTTCTAACACGATCTGCACACTCTGAATGTGAAATGGTTCTTTCATTTTAAAGTTAGAAATCACAAATACCAGTAACAGTGGAATGTGATTTAGTACTTCGATTAAAATTTGGCTCACTTAATAGATAAAGCTAATTTCACCAAACGAGAACTGCTACATCTAGGAGACTCAAAAATGGCAATTTATTATGAAGAGTTTGTTTCTAACACGATCTGCACACTCTGAATGTGAAATGGTTCTTTCATTTTAAAGTTAGAAATCACAAATACCAGTAGGTTTTGGAGTCTGTATATGTTCTTTATCAAGTTACAGAGTATAATTGTGACATGATGGTAACATATAATAAAAGCACAGCTTATTGTTTTGTGTATCAAATAGAAAGAATCAAGTTGATATATGAAGTAGACCTCTAACAAAAATACTTACTTAAATGCTGGGAGGAATGGTGTTAAGCCTTTGTCTTCCAGGGAACCCCTCTCCCTCTGTACTCATGCTCTAAAAATATGTTTAACGTCTAAAATTGTTTTTACCTTTTACTCTGCTTTGTGGCTTTAATGACTCCCAGTTGTTACTCTTGAGAGCAGATGTGTTACTGGAGATAGGAGGCTGTGGTCCCTGCTCCCTCCTGCCAGCAGTTCTCCTCTGGGACTGACTTTGCTCTGGCCAGTTATGCTCTCCTGCTCCCTGGTCAACTCTGTATCAGTGCTCCTTTTAGAGCATTTATAATGCATTTGGGAGCTTTCAGAATAAGATGCACTATAGAAATGTGAGTTATGACTATTACAAGGACTGCTTTTTCTTGTTTCAGGTGCGACCCTTGAATACAGAAGGGTCACTAAACCTTTTAGGCCTGGAGACAGTTAGATTAATCTATTTCAAAAACAAAATGGCAGGTAAGTAAAGAGAAAATAATTTTCATCATGCAAGTTTTTGTTTAGAAAGAGCATTTTTCTTCACCTGGATCTGTGCATTGTAGAAAGGGATCTCTGAGACATATGTGTCCTTGTTAATTTGGGAAAAAAGCCAAAGCTTATAAATTCCACAGTGATGGCAATGATGTCTGCTAGACAGCCAGTCTGAACTTTTGTTTTCACTTTCAGTATTCAGTGAAGACTTGTATGAAGACTGGGAGTAGAAAATAGAATGACTAGACACTCCCTCAAAATTTATGATCAACTGCCAGAATGCTATCTAATGCTATTTAAAAATGCCTGCACAATTAAAGAATTTAATAGTGATCTTTCCATAGGATTATAAAGTGTTATAATGTTATGTGTCCATAACTTATTATTAGGGCTACATACAGTTGTATGCCAAAGTTTTAACTTCAGAATTCAATTTCCGTTACGCATCTCTGACCCTTTTTTATTTCTTTTTTAGAGCCCATTTCATAATTCCTGAGGAATTTCCTTAAGCTTTTGTATAACCTCTTAGGTGGAGAGGGGACATGCTCTGTTTTAACAACAAAGAGCTATATTTTTTCTAACAACTTTCTGAAAATTGTGGAAATAAGCACTCTAGAAACAGATGCTGGTGTTGGCAGTGTTTTAGTGTTTATTTAAATTGCTAGCAAATCAGTTCAAAAGGAATGACAGTGATACAGAGGAGCAATATGCTGCATATATTGTATAAAGCATTTTCAAGCCTAATAGAGATTGAACATTAAAGTAAAGCAGAAGAGGAAAAAAAAATGAAGAGCATAGGATCAGAAGTGAGTAAGGCTGGTGCTTTGCTCCTGTACATTACCAAAACAGTGTATCTCTTTAAAAGTCTGCAAGGTTTTTCCTGAAGCTGCTTACCTAGTAGATCTCACCCTTCAGGAAAGCTTCAGTTGATTTTTTAGGAAAAAAAGATATTTCAATTCCATACAAAAATTGTTTTGACAGTGAGCAGTAGGCATTGGATATGTTCAAGCTTATTAAATGTACCTTTAGTTTCCATATATATAAAACAAGACAGAGCAGTTACGACATTCATTCAGAGTATCACTGTTTTGGTATGATTTTCGCTGTTAAACTTTGTGTCTTTATTAAAGGTGCCTTGGCCAGATGTACACATGTGGAAAAAATTCTTCCCTTTTCCCACAGTTCCACCAAAATACATCAGTGTTCTCTCTGGAACAGGGAATGAATGAATGAAAGAGAATCTTGCATTGAGTTGCCAGATGATTGGCAAAACAGGACTGTTCTAGTGATTTTCATTGAGAGCTGCCAAGGAAAGTTTGAGACAGAGGACTAAAATCCCTTCCTGCCCACCTAAGTGTTTTGTTTCAAAGAATGGATCTCTGGTATTTTGAGAACATAGGTGTGGCAGTTTGTGTGTGAAGAAGGGTTAAGTCTGTGGCTACATAACAGATTAGTAGATTGTGGCCAAGAAAAAAAAACCACAAACCAAAGAAAAATTGGTCAAATTTCACGGGAAATGGTTGGTGTGCAACACTAGTGAGAGCAGAGGGAGAAAACGTCTTTGAATTCAAATTCCATGAATTGTCCCACTGGGTCACCATATTTGCATTGATTTCAGAGGGTGATGAACTGGTGGTCCCTGAGACATCAGATAACAGCCGGAAGCAAATGGTTCGAAACATCAACAACAAGCGCCGCTATTCCTTCAGGGTACCCGAGGAGGAGAGGATGCAGCAGAGGAGGTCTGTATTCAACATGTACTTGTCTTCTGTACATGCCTGTAGGCCCTGAAGGCCAGTAACTGATGCCAATGTAGTACTTCATGTGTTGCTTCCTGGAATGCCAATTCAGATGTTTCTGTGTCTTCACTGCTGTGTTAAACCTCGATGTTTAATTTGTGTTAATACCAGTTCGGGTGTGGACATGCACTGGATGCACAAGTATTCATTAGTTCAGATTACTTTTGTGAAGCAGCTGTAATGTGGAATGCATGTCTCCACATACTGTATATAGGTGTGCACATATACTGTATATATAAAGTTCTCTAATAAATACTTTGCAAAAGGAGATTGCATCGCTCACTATGCATGTGGATTAATTACTTTCAGACTCTGGTTCTGCTTTTCTTTCTGAAGGCAATTCTACTCTCAGCATTATTCCAAGGCATCTGCTTTTTTGACTTATAGATTTAACTACATAAACTTTCTGTAAATCTCAGGAAACTCACCTCTTCAGAGGACATAGGACTTCAGGATGTATTTCTAATAGAAGTGTTTAACAGGTTACAAATACTTTCCTAAATGTCAATCAAAATAGGTCTGCACCACTCACAGTGTTCACAGAGGCTGTTACTTACCATTTGCTATCACTCACTAAAGATGACCTGCAACTGTGCTAAGCCACACTCCAAGAGCTGAGTATTTCAGTTTTCTAACTTCCAACGTCTTCAAGCAGTGGTTGGCTCCCAGCTTTCCTTCCCTTTTGGCTCTGAGTAACAGCTGTATACAGTGGAGATAAAATCCTGTTTCTTGTCCTTGCCTTTTCTGAGCTGATCACAGTTTGGTCTCTTAAAAATTTTCTTGCTCTAAATCGCTGAAACGCATCCTTGCCATTTTGAAGAGCTTTTAATTCTCACCACAGACTGAGAAAGGTACTGCTGCATTATTTTAATTCTATTTTCATATTTTGTACTTCATTTTCATCTCCACTCTGTAATGCATCGCAAAGGAGTTCTGCTTTTACTCATCTTACAGAGCTTTTATCAGCTCATAGTGGTTGTATATTCTTTGAATGTTAGTAACTATTGGGCATGGGCTGTTAGCCTACAAGCAGCATTCTTCTGGCCCCTTGCCCTCTCTTCAAGCTGGGAGCTTCTCCATGCCTGTGCTCATAGCAAGGGTTTATCACTTTTAACAGTGTTAAATAGAGTCATAAACTCATAGAATTGTTTAGGTTGGAAAAGACTAGTCAATTTCCATTTAAAAGTAGCTGATAATCAAAACTGTATGTGTTTTATAAATGCCCATTCTCACCTTGAACAAAATACCTGAATAAAGTATTTTCTTTTCCAGGGAGATGCTACGTGATCCAGAAATGAGAAATAAATTAATTTCTAACCCAACTAATTTTAACCACATAGCACATATGGGTCCAGGAGATGGTATACAGATTCTCAAAGACCTTCCAATGGTAAGTACATGTGAGAGTGACTGACTGCAACAGAGGCTGACAATAAGTGAGAGAAAAACAAGTATGGTTTTAGTGTATATTCCAGTGTTGATGTATTTCATATCATGAACTGTGTAAGTAGGGAAATGGAGCTACATATGCTCTGCTGTATGTGATAAAATTTAATCAAGGAGGGTGACACTTCAGCATTGAAGGAAGGAGGAGGAGGAGGAGTGCCTTATGCCTTCTGGACTTTGCAGGTTGGCCTTGCAGTGTCAATGATGATTTTTATGACCCATATGAAGGGGCAAAATTAAGAGGATTTGGGTCTGTGTTCTTTTTGGGAATGGCAGGATAAATTCATTTCTCAGTGTACAGTAGTTCAATATCTTTTTTCTCTTCCAGTCTTAAGCCCCAACTTAGCCTTTCCAGCCTATACCTTTACAGCCTGTTTTCCTCACTCAGTGCAACTGTAGCACTTTAATAGTGTGTAGTGCCCAAATTTCTTTCTGTGCCAAATATACTATTTTCATGTTCTAGTTAACTAGTCTCAATGAAACAACTTACATAAACACTAACATTTGATGTTGAAAAATGGAAAAATAAAACATGTAATAGCATAGACACATGTTCATTTCCATGAAACCTTATGTAGGAATTACTAACCTGAAAGCTACTGAAATTTTTGCTGAGCTAAAGACCAATTAATTTGTTCATAAGAGAGTATCATACTGCTTGCTTCAAGCTACCTTGAACATCTTGTTTGTGTGTTCTGTGTTGTTTTCTACACTCATCCACTGTGACACAGATGGGATTCTGAAGATGCTAATTAGCACCGTAAGAAAGATGAGGTGATAGGATATCAAACAGATCATATGAGTACCAGCATAAGATTTAGGCATTAGTACAGAACTGCTGTCTAACATGATCATGGTTATTACTTGGAGTTTGTGCAGAAAGCAGTGAGTAGATGCTGAAATTGGGATTTTTCTGATGCTGAAAAGCCTAAAGGAAATAACAATAACATGGGAAAATAAAGTGTGCCGCGCAGTTGCACCACTTTAGGAGCATAATCTCTGGTCTTAAAATACATATTTTATCTCATTTTTACAGCAAATGGTACTTTTATGTTTACCATAAAGCCAGCACATTGATTTACTTTAAATCTCATACTAGAGGCACTCTGAAAAACCTCTCAATAACAAATATATTCAGTGAAATTGAGCAAAACTCAATATTTTGTGTGTATATGTTTATAAATGAATAAATAATGAAGGAACTGGTTGTAGAAAACACATGGCAAGTCCAAGGGGAGTTGGCAGGTAGTGTTTACCTTACCTGGATGCAAGATTGCATATGTCTAATGTTAAACAAAGTGATAATTTGCGTCAGGGTAGGATGTAGATCAGAAACTTTATTTGCTTCTCTATTTCTGGTGGGTTCTTTGAAATGTTTGTGGCTCTTCTCAAGCAGAGAAAATAATTTGCTACTTCTAAAGGTAGGGCAAAAAACAATCCTGTGTCACACCACCAGTAGGTGAAAGTTCATGGGAATCAAAAGCTGCAAGGACTTTTAATCAAGCCCCAGATCTGACAAGTGTAAAACAAAGAATGGTTTTATCTATAGAAGAGGATTTTCTAGACTTAGATGGTTTAATAATTCTTTAGCTATATAATCTCTAAATGGCTTTTAGCTTTGAATTCATTCTATTTGCTCCAGCCTTGTATTAGCTCAAAGGTCATATTTTATGTTAGGACTGGTGCTTTGCTATTACCGATCAATATGATGTTTTAAAAGAAATTCGTGAGTCACTTTCCACACTTTAAATTGATGAGAAGACATTATAAAATTTATACACTATGCAGTTGATTCCTGCACTTGTTCCACTGCTGCAGCTTCTTTTTAAAGTTACTATTAAAACCTCCTTTTGGCCTGTAGGTATCAGTCTTAATGCTGGGAGATGTCACTGAAGACAAAGCGAATTTACTGTGTATTTTCCAGCAGTTTCTTGTAATGCCATATTGTATTTGTATTCCTAACTTAATGGGCACAGAATTGTGTCAGGCATGGGGCTTGAAAGTGTGTGAATTTACAAGTGCAACTTGAAATTAGGAAATGAATGTTCTGTCCAGAGCTACTTGGGTCCAGGCAGCTTTTTCTTTTCCAGCAGCTTTCTGTAACGTATTTGGCTGGACTGAGTTTTCATTTGGTCTGTTCCAGACTACATACTTTGCTTCTCAGGCACAAAAATAGAAGAAAAGGAGTGGTGTGTGCATATGAGGTTGTGTGTTGAGCCTAATGTTTTATTGGAAAGATAAATTTAGAATCAAAAGAGGGGATGCAAACAGAGGATATTTCCTGGAGGATCAGTACACAAGGTAAAGAATGCTCATCCATCCCCGTGTACAGTTCATCTGTATGGTGGTTCCTTTATAAGGACACAGAATTATTTCACTAGTCTCATGCCTTATTCCAAAAAGGTGAAAAGCTGGGGGTTTTGTGTTCTTCTTAGCATGTGTCATAACTTCACAGCTGGAACACCTTTGTTGTATTTTTTAATAGATGAGCACATTTCAG